GGGAGCCAGGACTCCTGGGTTCTCTCCCTGGCTCTGGGAGGGGAGCAGGGGCTGGTGGGTTAGAGCAGGGGGGCTGGGAGCCAGGACTCCTGGGTTCTCTCCCCGGCTCTGGGAGGGGAGCAGGGGCTGGTGGGTTAGAGCAGGGGGGCTGGGAGCCAGGACTCCTGGGTTCTCTCCCTCACTGATGATGCCTGGAGCAGGGAGGTCCCTGCGCGAGATCGCTAGGTCTGCTCAGGGCACCGGTCTGCCCACTGTACATTGAGAGCCAGAGTTTAGCCGGCTGCGGAAATGCCCAGGGGCGCAAGAGAAGCCAGGAAACTCCTCCCCCTGAGCCCGCGTCACCCCCCCACTCCGCCCCCCGCCAGGTCCCCTGCCTGCTGACAGACCCCCCAGACCAGAGGGGGAACGCGATTTGCCCCAAACGAGGCCAAACCAACAATCCCCTTTTCTAGCCCCTCCAGCGGCAGCCGCTTGTCGTCCCTTTGGCGGCTCCTCGCAGCCGAGCCCCCCAATTCTTCGCTGTCATCTCCCCGCCGACCCCCGCCCACGACGCCTCCAGCCCAGGCCCCCGGCGCGTCTCCCTCCCGCCTCGGAGCCATGGTCCAGGAACAGGGAGCTGATGTCAGTGGAGGAGACGGGGCGAGCGCGGCTCACTTGGGCTGAATACAGAGACTTGCCAAAACCCGAAATTCATGGCTCCCGAGGCCAGACAGGCTGGTTCTCTCGAACGCCCCAAAGGCAGCTGGGGAACGGCTCCCGTCCCGGCAAGAAAGGGGCGGCGCAGGAAGGGTTGCAAAGCAGAAAAACGGCACTTGGAGGAGAGCCGCTGTTTGGAACTGGACGCTGAACCGAGTGAAAAGAACCGGGGGGCCCCCATCCGGGAGCACATCGCCCTGAAAGGGGCCAAGGGGTTTTGATGGCCCCGAACGGACGCTGGTCTCGGCACGTGAGACTTTGAGAGTTTTCGGCCAAGGGCCAGAACTGGGTTCACTGCGCCGGTCCGGCATCCAGCTGGCAAGCGACAGCGCTGAGCGGCACAGCCTCCCGGTTCCCGTCTGCTTTCCCCTCCACGGCCCAGAGCGCGCCTTCTCCAGACGCTATTGAAATACGTCCAATGATGTACAGCGCCTGACACAACTGAGAATGCCGAGACGCTACCGTAATACACCTAATATACTATGCACCGCGCCCGGCACAACGGGTTCCCAAACCACGACGGACACACCTTGTATAACAGGGACTCCTACAAGTGCCAGCTGCGACGGGGGACTCCTGTTATGCCAGGTGCTGCACAGACAGGCCCCCCCCGGGGAGAGATCAGAGCCCCACCCGCTCCCCATCTCCCACCCAAGTGAGATCAGTGCCTCGGTCTTCGCTCAGTGCTGGACAGACCCCACTGACCAAGATCAGGCCCCATGGCACGGGGCACTACCCAGACCCCCTGCCCAAACCAAGACGGGGGTTCCTGTTAGGCCAGGCACCGGGCGGGTGCTGCGCAGACACACAGCAAGAAACAGTCCCGGCCCTGGAGAGTTTCCAGTCGACACAGACAAACGCGGGAGGAGAAACAGAGGCCCCGACAGCAGGGCTGCCCAAGTTCACCCAGCCCGTCTGGGAATAGAACCCAGGTGTCCGGGGCCCGGCGCTGTCACCGTGTCACCAGATCACACCGCGCCAGTCGAAAAGTGTCTCCCCCCGGATTGAAATTCTCACCTACTGACTAACAGACGCATCGAGGATCGGAGTGATTGATGGCTCCCGGCTACCTCAATAGCCACCTCCCCGCAGCCCTCTCAGCCCTCTGTCCGGGTTTCCAGCCAAACAAATTAACCACTCTTGGGGGGATCAGCCCACGTGGGCGAGTGTGCACCAGGCCACACAGGGGTAACAGTACACAGGGTGGGGACACCCACAAGGATCACGCAGCTTAAAGGGATTTAGAAATTGCTCACCAAGATGCAGCCACCTCTGGGGCAGGGCAGCTGGGGAACGGCCGCGCAGTGGGGTGTGCGCGCTCAGGGAGCGGGGGGGCGGAAGCACCGCATGCACC